TAGTCTTCAGTCTACAGCAGCAAGATGAACTCACCAGCGAGAGAGAAGGCAAGCCGCAAAAAGCCCCGTGTTCTCCTCTGCCTTGGTCTTTTATACTGGCTGCCATCAGAAGGTAACGCCCACATTTAGGGTGTGTCTTCCGGCTTTAGATGATCCAATCAAGAAGTTCTCTTTCATTTCAGTTAATCTCAGATCAAATCAAGTTGACACCCAGGATTAGCCATCACACCCTTCTTGGGCCTCAGCAGTCAACAACACTATCAGATGGTTGTTTCTCTGATCTTGGCTTTTAGGACAACACATACTGTGCCAGGGCTTGAGGCCTTCTTCCCGTGTTTTTCCAAGACTCCTGGGTTTGCTGTTCTGTCTTCCTCCAAAGCTGCTCTTGCTGTGGCTCCCAGGCTGAGGCCTTTTTGAGGTCAAGGATATTTCATTTTGCCCTCTTGTCTAAACATCCACAGGTAGGTTCCTTCAGCCCTTACCTGTACTGGCCTGTCACTTTCCTGGTTTATTCCTGGGACCCTTGCTCTAGCTGTCTGTCCACCTGTGGGGGTTGAGCCCAGACTATCCCAAGGCCACTGCAGGGAGAATAGAATCCCAAACTTGAGTTTCCCACAGATGCCTCTGCTCCACGTCTCAGCCACCTTCTCTGTTCCTGCAGCTCTCTGGGGCTTGTCCAGTGGTCTCTGTCTTCATGCCCTAATTCCAAGTTTCCTCTGGACCTGAGCTGAGGCAGCAGCTGAGAGAGGGTCCTCGGGAACAGTGGAGCTAACAGCAACTGGAGCTTTTTAGAGATGAAATGCTCAGGTCTCATCATGGACTTCTGAGTCAGAAAATCTACAGTGGGGTGAGTCTGCTTCAGCTGGCATCCTGGAGACTATATGCATCTCTGAGGGAGGGCTGAGCTCTGTGGATTCCACCTGCTTCAGATGTTCTGTATCCATCCTCCTCTCTTGTACTTGGCTGCCCACAGCTGGAACTTCATATGCTGCAGCAGAAGCTGAGGCTCCTCTCTTGGAGGGTCTTTCTCCCCGATACATCTTGCCCACAATGACCAGCATGCTCTCTACTTCTGTATAGAAATCTTTAGCTTTTTGCCTAAATTAATGATGAAATTCTCTCTCTGGTATGCAAGGCTCTTTATAAACTGTCATTCAGCTAGGTCTTCATGTGTCCTGTCCACATTTTGCCCTCAGTGACAGGCAGACTCCTGGGTTCTAGCTTTTTGCATAGGGCCCTCCTGTCACCCCAAATGTCTTTGACCATCTCCCGATGCTGGCGTGTGACCATTCTTCAAGACTTCCTATGGATTCTTTCACTTTGTGAAGCTCACAATTGAATTTAATCTTCCTCCTCTTGAAACCTGTGTTAGTCAGTTTTCTGTTACTATAAAAAACTGAGATAACCATTTTAATGTGGGAAAAGATTTTCTTTGGCTTATGGTCTCCAGAGGCTTCAGTCTACAATGGTTTGGCCTATTGATTTGGGTCTGTGGTGAGACATCATGTTATGATGGAAGTACGTGGCAGAGGAAGCCGTTCACTTCATGAAGCAGAGGAAAACAAAAGGGGCTGGGTTCTTTTATTTTAATATTTTATTTATTATTTTAATTTTGTGTGTATGCAAGTATTGCCTGCATGTAGGTAAGTGCACCCGTGTCGTGCAGTGCCCACGGAGGACAGAACAGGCTGTCAGATCCCTTGGAACTGGAGTTTCAGACAGTTCCCAAACCCGGGTCTTCTGCAAGAACAACCAGTATTCTTAACCGCTGAGCCATCTCTCCGGGGATGGGTTCTTAATACCCCTTCATCAGCCTGACTCCAGTGACCTAACTTCTTTTTTCTGGGCTCCACCTCCTAACGGTTCCAGCACCTGCCAGTAGTGCCATGGCTGGGGACCATGTCTTCAGTACATGGGCAGTCAATCAGAGACACCCAAACCACAGAAGATCCTGAACATCTTTGCCCCTCTTGTATTTATCTTTATCGTTTTAAAGAACATTATTTATTTATTTTTAATTTTTTTGTGTGTATGAGTATTTTGCCTGCATGAATGTAAATTTGCCTGTGTTGTGCAATGCCCATAGAGCCAGAAGAGGGAGTCAGAGCCTCTGGAACTGGAGGTCTAGATGGTGGTTAGCCGTCATGTGGGTGCTAGAACCAAACTCAGGTCCTTTGCAAGAGCAACCAGTGCTTTTAGCCACTGTGTTCTCTCTCTAGCCCCTGTCTTTATAGGTTTTTATGACCCTCAACTTTGAGGAGTGATCACTTTCTTATTTGTAGTTTTAGCTAGTGCAGCACCCCCCTCATTGACTTAGGTATAACAGGTGCCCTGAACTGGTGAACTGAATCTTTTCTTAAATTAGCCAGACAATGGGTTCTTACCAGAGTACTGAATAAAACCATTGGGCCATTATAAAAAGACATGTCATTTGCTAATAAATGCTGATTTCTTTCCAAAGGATTATTATAACAATATAAGCCAATTTGTATTAATTTTAGCTGCTACTAGTTAAAATTAATTGAATACCAACTAAGAGCTTATCATGTTCTCGAGAGTCTCAGAGGATTTGCACGTAATGAAAATAGACTTTAATTAAAAGCTACTAACAGCAGAAAGTGCAGCGCTGGAAGAGCAGCTCCCGTGGGCTTGATGCCCCACATGGGCACACTTGCCTAGGGGAATGGGTTGCTTCTTGAGTAGGTCACGTGCTGGTCATTTATCACAAAGCACACAGTGTCTTGTGCTGTCTCTCGCAAACTCTCATGTCATTTCCTGTGTTGCAGATTATATACCATGGATGGACATCTTTTGGACAACTCAAATGATTTGCAAGACAATTATTTTTATGTTGCCGCCGGGCTGGAGACCTTCAAATCTGTTCCTTACTGGAGGTCCTCACGTGTCCCCAGTGAGGTTCAGCAGTGAGTACAAGTTGTGCCTTTCCTTTAAAATTTTTTTTATAACTTTATTGACTTATTTGGGCATGTGTGTTCCATGGGATGCCTGCGGAGGTCAGAGGATTACTCATGGGAGTTAGTTCTCTCTTACCGTGGCAAATGCCTTTACCCACTGAGCCATCTTGCCAGCCCCTGTGTCATTCCTTTCTGAGTGTTGTTAACACTTCCTCATTCCCCCAGGACACTTTAAAAATTGTTTTTAAATACTCTTAAGTGTATGTGTGTGCCCGCTTGTCTGTATTTGCATCATGTGTGTACTGTGCCCACAAAGACCAGAAGAGGGCCATTGGATCCCCTGGAACTGGAGTTGTGATCTGCCTGATATGGGTACTGAGAACCAAACTTGGGTCCTCTGGAAGAGCACAAGCACTTTTAAGCCTGAACTAGCTCTTTAGCCTCTACCCTCAGGACCTTTATTTTCATAATATGTTGAGTTCAGCCACTCTTCTACAGTAAAACTCAATGCTCTTATATATGTATATACAGACTTACATATGTGTAATTTTAACTTTACTTCTAAAATCAGGAATGGAATCATGGACCACACAGTCTCTGAGAGCCTTATGTCCACTCTGGGACACAGATAGGCTGGGTGGTGCTCTTCCAAGAGTGGTGTGGTAGAGGCATGTCCAGATCTGGCAGCTGCTGGAGCAGGCAGGCGCTGGTGCTCATGAATTAGGAAGAGGAGTGGGTGTATACAAAGTGGCCAGTCCATAGAATTTTGTGTCTCTAAAGAGGGAGGCAGTCAATTTTGGTTGAGGTTTGAATGTCAGCTCTGCCAGTGGTCAGCTCTGGGGTGTGGAGCAAACCCTCATCCCTTAGGCCTTTGGAAGCATCGAAATTACCTCCAGCATCCTATAAAACCTTACAGCTGAAGTTGTCTGTCATCATGCCACCCCCAGGCCAGATGCCACCCTGATAAGTGGAAGCCCATCTGACTTTCAAAGACCCCCCCCCAGCCCTTTCTGCTCCTGAACCAGGAAATGGTTGCTGTCATAGGCTGGGTCCTCTGGGGTCAGTGGGTCCCTCTCCCAGTCAAGAATGCCCCTATAGTTTATAAAGATGATGTTACAAATTGGCTGTTTTTTTGTCTTTCAGGAGGTATGGGAACACTGAGAAACACCCCCCCCAAAAGAAAAAAGTAAGTTTTGATAGAAGAGTGACCATTATTACAAATTCTGGTGCCAATCAGCTTCAGGAACACAGGGTCTGAGCCAGGCTCACAGGGAACAGTCAGATCTGCCCATGAGGTAGAGGAGACTAGTTTTCCCCCTGGAGCACAGAGCCTAGGACAGGGAGGCATGCTGAGGTATCTGCAACATAGCAGTCTGTGTATTGAGACCTCAGAAGATCAGCACCCTGTCTTTTAAATTTGCAAGTTATCCTAAAAATATACTTACAGGCCAGGTGTGGTGGTATACACCTTTAATCCCAGCATTTGGGAGGCAGAGGCAGGTGAATATCTGTGAGTTTGAGGCTAACCTGGTTTACATAGTGAGTTTATATATGCTTACAGAACAAAGCTGAGACTCTTTTTCTGGCGGGGGGTCGGGGGGCTTCAGTGAGCACTTCCCAAACAAAGCATAGAGCCTTGGACACACAGATCACCAGTGTCAAACGGGGCTTTGTGGTTCTTATTGCAGTGTGCTGATGCTCCTAAAACCAGTTCTGCGGAGATCTTGCTTTCTGTACTTAAAATGCAGCTTCAGCTCCTAGAAGCATTCCTTAAGGCCAGAGATATTTTACTTTGTCTCTTGCATGAGGGTGGAAGCTTATTTCCATATGTTAATTTCTACCAGAGGAAAAAAAATCCCTATCTTGGGAGTGTGAGCAAAGTCAAAATATTAACGGTATGATGGACTGCACTGTGACCTGTGAGCTGGAATAAACCCTTTCTCCCTAAAGTTGCTTTTGCCAGCGTATTTTATCATAGCAACAGGAAAAGAAAATAAGACACGTGTCATTTCATTTCTGGTTGTATAATACTTTATTTGACTAGTCTATGCAAATAGGGCATTGAGATTGTTCTAGATCTAGTTTGGTTTTGAATTGGTTTTTTTTTTTTTTTTTTTTTTTTTTTAAAGCACTTCCATGAGTAAAGTCCTGTAACTAAAACCACTATTAAAACACTACTGGGAAAAGGCAGGTGTTTTTAGTTGACATTTCTTCAGTACTATAGAGAGCTTGAGAGAGATGTTTGGTTATAACTTTGGCTGGATTTGCTTCCCAATATTTGCGTTAAGATTTAAAAGAGAAAAGCTAAAAAGTGACATCCTGCAGTGTGGTGAGGGTTAGTGGGACAGGGTTGGGAGGGAGCTAAGAGTCCCCCAGCCTTGCTCTGTGGCTGCACTGCACCATGTTGCTGTTGTCCACAGACTTTGTAAAAGCCCAGGTCTCCCCTAGTCTGAAAAGCAGCTGCCATATAACTGATTTTATGAGCACTCCACCTTGTGCATAGGCTTCAGCGGAAATAGATTTGGGGAGCCCTGGAACAGCACCTCTTATACGTCAAGGCATGTCCCCAAAGAACCTGAAGAGCCCCTGAGTCATCCCTAGAGCAGCCCCCAATCCCCCAGGTGGTGGGAGAATACCTGAGGCTGGGAAGTGATTGACCTCTCCCCATAGGGGTGCTAGGAGGGTGGAGGAAGAGCATGTCTTTGCCTCCTTGTGGGGGGGTCAGAGGAGGAGCGTGGGGGACCCCATGAGGCTTCTCGGGTGGGTGCCTGGTCTGCCCTTGTCCACCCCAAGGACCAAGGACCCTGAGAGCTCAGCAACCAGGGGCACTCCCTTGGCCTCAATCCCTGAGACTTTTGTTCTTAATTTGTATGTCAGGTGGAGTCCAAAGGAAAAGAACCTCCCCCACATAACAATCTGCCATTTAAAAACCAGGATTCTGTTTATTATGCCAAAGAGAAGGAAAAGATGTCAGAGGGAACTTTAATCCAAAGTGGTGCAGGTAATGTGACACCATCTTCTGCAGGCAATGAGAAGTGCTCCCAGACTCTGTGTGTGCATGGTTTAGGTGTGTGTAGTGTGGTAGAGGTGTGTGTAGTGTGTGTGTTATACCTGTGTGTATGTTTTATAGGTTTGTTCGGTGTGTGTGTATGTGTGTGATGTATGTGGTATAGGTGTGTGAGGTGTGTGTAGTGTATATATATGTGTGTTGTGTGTGTTTGGTGTATGTTGTGCATGTGCATGCATGGTATATGTGTGTGTGCATTGTGTGTGTATGTGGTGTGCATACGTATGGTGTTTTAGTTTGCTTTTCTGTTCCTGTGATAAAATGGAGACCGAAAGTAGCTTGGGGAAGAAAGGATTTATTTCAGCGTCCAATTCCCAGGTCACAGTCCATCACTAAGAGAAGCCAAGTCAGGAACTCAAGGCCGGAGCCGAAGCAGAAACCCTGGAGGAATGTCGCTTACTGGCTTGTTTCCTCTCACTTGCTCACCTGCCTTTCTTTTTCAAAAATTACTTTTATTATTATTTTTAAGTGTGCATGTACATGTGCATGCACGTGTGTGCGTGTGTGTTCGTGAGTGCAGTGCTGGAGTTACAGGCTGCTGCGAGCTGCCTGATGTGGGTGCTGGGAATTAAACCCAGGTTCCCTGGAAGAGCAGTTATGTGCTCGTAACCACTAAGCCTTCTCTCCATCCTCAGCTGTTTTCTCACACAACCCAGGTCCACTAGCCCAGGGATGGCACCACCCACAGTGGGCTGGGCCTTCCTACATTAACTAGCAATTCAGAAAATGCCCACAGACATGGCCAATCTGATCTGGAATATTCTTCAGTTGAGGCATCCTCATTCCAGGTGACACTAGTTTATGTCAAGTTGACAAAAACAAGCACATGTGATATGTATGTATAGTGTGTATGTGTGTATGGTATATGTAGTATATATGAGTTTGTGTATGTGGTATATATACATACACATATATATAGTGTGTATAGTGTATATGTGTGTGGTGCATGTGCATGTATAGGGGGTGTGGTGCGTGTATGTGGTGTGTAGTGTGTATGTGTATAGTATGGTGTGTGTATAGTGTGTATGTATATTATGTGTATAGTGTATATGTGTATGTATGTGTGTGTTGTATGTGTGGTATGTAGTGTATACATGTATGTTGTGGTGTGTGTGGTGTATACCATGTGTATGTGTGGCATGTGTATAGTGCAAATGTGTACAGTGTGTATGTGTGTGGTGTGTATAGTGTGTATATGTATATATGCTGTGTGTGTATAGTGTGAATGTGTATGGTGTGTGTGTGGTGCATGGTGTGTACATAATGGTGTGGTGTGTGTGATGTGCATAGTGTGTATATTTGCAATGTGTGTATAGTGTATATGTGTATGGTGTATGTGTGGTGTGTACAGTGTGTATGTGTTTGGGGTGTGTTTCGGAAAAAGCTTATTCCACGGAATCATTTTTTGTAACCGTCTCCTTCACTCAGCTTGTGGGACAGTGGTAGGCAGAGAGGAACAACCAAACTCCAAAACTGAAGTCAATGGGAGCGTGCAGGCAGGAGGCCTCCAGAATGTCATAGCCAAAGTCAAGTCTACATTTACATGTGCACAAGGGCCCTAGATAGTCATTCTGTAAGGAGACAAGTCCATATTTTAGGGAACTTTGAACATGCACACTGTCTAGATTGTTCAGTGTACTTTTAGAAGAGGAATCCAGATGGGACTGTAAAGTGAGATAATTTAAATACCTGCCACTCCTGTTCTTACTGCTCTACTCCCTCTGCCATGTCCTTCTGGGCACTGAGGTCTAATGACACCCTTCTTGTGGTCCATCTCATGTCCCTGTCTGACAGACAGGGTGAGGGACCTCAGAGTCCTATGACTGGTTCTAGTGTAAACAGGAAGGTGGGGGAGAGGCTTCTCCCATACTACTCTGCAGCATCCAGACAGTTTTGGATGTCACCGGGCACAGGGATGCCCATGTTTCCAAACATACAGGACCTTCATGGAGGTGGAGACTAGACAGGCACTGCAGAATTGAGGCCCACTGAACTAAGGCTTCTTCAGAAGAAAGACAAAGGGAGAGAGGGCGATGGAGGGGGCACTGTGGGCTTCTGTCTCATGGCACAGAAAGTTCAGGGATCAGAAAATACACATTGACATTCAGTTTCTCCATTGGTTTCAAAAGTCTGTCTGTTACTTTCCCTCAGAAGGCGATGTGTATAAAGCACAGACTCCTGCCAAGGAGACACAGGAGGCGCTGGACATCAGGGAGGACCCGGAGGTGAAGGTGGAGGTACCTGTGGACCAGGTGGGTAGCAAGAGCCCAAATGGACTAAACTTAGCTATGTCAGCCTCTTCCTCAGCAGACTCTCCTCTAGGCTCTCCATAGCCTCTAGAAGGTTCCATGCTCTCCCATTTAGCTACTTACCCAGGCATTTTCCTGACCTTCCCTTAAGCACTTCTGCTGTCAGGCCCATTTTGACACCTGTCATCTGTGTGGCTGCATGTTTATTATGTCACTGTTTGGCTACTGTGTTTGTCCTGGTCTAATGGGGGAAGAATCTGCTTTGCTCAGGTTGTAGCTCCAGTGTCCAGAAGAGTCCCTGGCATGCACATGGCCCTTCATCATCCTTTGTGGCATGATGGGATGTGGAATAAATGGGGTGACCGTGGGACCTCAATATCCTTGGGGTGACTGTGGGACTTCCGTACTCTTAGGGTGACCATGGAACTTCCATAGCTTTGAGGTGGCTGTGAGATTTCCAAACCTTTACCCACAGATGGAGGCAACTCACGAGGGTGGCCAAGGGTGGCCAAGGGAGGGCCTTGTGTACTGCTGGATGTGCGGCCCAGCTCAGTCACTGCCTCCTCCACACACACACACATACACACTATACATACATATCTAGTGAAGTAGAGTCTTGAGAGAGTCCCAGAGAAGATGGGAAGATGAGGTGGAGGGGAGCGTGGAGAAGGGGAAAGGATGCTGAAATTGGGGTCTCCAAGCTGGTGATTAGACAGAGGGAAAAATGTGAGACAGGGAGCCAGTGAGATGGCAGTGGGTGCAGACTGCAGGGAGCTGGCGGATACAGGTGAGAGGTGGGCACAAAGAGCCTGAGCACTGGTGGGCGCCAGCCAGACTCACCCCATAAGAGGCTGGGCTCATCTCCACAGCCCTTCCTTGGGCTCTGCCTGTGCTCCTGTGAGGAGAGATTGTGTAGGTAGCCCTAAAATTGCATGATTTTGCCTTGACTCTCTACTGGAAGGCACGAAACTCTTATCTACAATTGTTACCGTGGAGGAAAGAAATTTTATTCTGGAAAAGGCTAATACTACGATTTGAGATAGGTCCTGTTCTGGCCTAATAATTACAGAGCATGAATCAGGGTAACCACTGAGTTTCCTTCCTCCTGTTTCAGTAACTTGGCTTCTGTAATTTTAAGTCCTGCTGTGTGTTTTTGCTGTGGCATATTTTAACAAGTTCCAGCCTGCATGCTGGCTTCCCCTTCCCCTGGCATTTGGACTTCTTACCCATGTTTCCTGCTGTAGTTTCTAAATTACCAGTAATTACCTATTCTTTTCCTTGATATGGCAAAAATGAGTGAAAGATTTTTTTCTTAAAACCAAAACTACTGGGGTTGGAGAGATGGCTCATCAGTTAAGAACACTGGCTGTTCTTGCAGAAGACCCGGGTTCGAATCCCAGCAGCCACATGGCAGCTAACAACTGTCCATAACTTCAGTTCCAGGGGATCCAACAGCCTCTTCTGACCGCCGCAAGCATTGCACAACACAGGTGTACTTACCTATATGTTGGAGATACACCCATACACATAAAAAATAAAAACAATAAATAAAATAGTAAAAACAAGAGGAAGCACAACTGGCCCTAAATAAAGTCATATATTAGAACTCAGAGCAAAGGTTAAAACAGTGCATTTTCACATTAAATTCCTAGCTTTATTTCTAAAACTAAAATGAGGAATGACATTTGGTAGAACTTTTATCTCCTAAAACATGTGAAATATTATCTTAACTGTTAATTCCTTGGCACTGATAAGACTAAGTTAAACAGGTGAAAATTAATTTGAGAAAAGAATGTTTACCTGATTGAAGTTGTTCTGTAAATAACTGTCTCCATAGTTATTTGTGTATGGTGAACATGTGAGTCTCAAGTGCCTGTGCAATTGATGTCCATTGTGTCTGAAGTGGTAGAGTGGATTTTCTCATTGCAGTGTAGTGTGGAATGAGAGGAAGGACAAGGGTCAGGAGGTGTCCTGGGGTGTCCCCTTGGGATGGGCTATTTGGGAGGAAGGCGAGGGACATGGCCAGGGAGAGCACAGTGTCAGGCCTTGGTGAACAGAGGCACAGAAACAGCCCTGCTGATTGTTCTGTACCCTGGGCAGGACTGAGGATGCTGCAGTGAACCCAGACTGTCTAGTGGGTCAGGTGACAATATGAACCTACGCTCTGTGGCTGTGAGGGGCACAGCATTGAGACCCCTTGAGGTCAAGCTTCCTTTACTCACCCCAACATGAACGACATGTGGAGAGCAGAAAGAAAGGGCCTGGGAGCCAGAGGAACCATATTGGTTGTTGGCCAGGGTGCTGAGGGGAGAAGATATGGGGAGCAGGCCTCCTGCAGAGCACTCGGGTCAAGTGGCTTGACTCCATGTTCCCCCTTCACCATGACTGGATGAGTGTCCATTGTTTACGAAACCCACTGACCTGGACTCAAGACACCCTGTGTGATATGGTCAGTAGACACAAAGTGTAGTCAGGTGGAGGGACACTCAGGTCACACTGACTTCCTATGCACCATGTTATAACCTTTGAAAACGCTCGGTTTGGATGATTAGAGGATGTGGGTGCCCTTCAGCCTGCTAGAAGCATTATACTACCTGTAATAAATTTAGACACTCAGGTCACACTGACTTCCTATGCACCATGTTATAACCTTTGAAAACACTCGGTTTGGATGATTAGAGGATGTGGGTGCTCTTCAGCCTGCTATAAGCATTATACTACCTGTAATAAATTTTAAAAAAGATTTATTTTTTTATTTTATGTGTATGAGTGTTTTGCTTGCATGTATGTAAGTGCACCAGTGAGTGCAATGTCTGTGGAGGTCAGAAGAGGGTGTCAGATCCCCTGGAACTGGAGTTATGGATGGTTGTTAGGTGCCATGTGGGTGCCAGGTGCCACCTGGGTCCTCTGCAAGAGCAGCCAGTGTTCTTAACTGCTGAGCCATCTTTCTAGCTCCTTATCTAATTATTTTTGAGATAATTAAAAAGCTTCAAACACCAGGTCCTCTTAACAAATGCCTTTCCCTTATCCCAGAGTCTAGAAACGCCCCCTACCCCCAAACCCCAGAGCCCAGTGCCTGTTAGGAGCCACTTGTAGCTGTGTAGAAGTCAAAGAGGAGGATGGCTGATTGGCCACAGGCAGGGAGATGGGAATAAAGGCTGATCATCCATCCCCCAACATTTAAATTCATTGTGCATTAAAAAACACATAAAATATGCATTAAAATGTACATTAAAATGGGTAAAAATTTTTTGAGACAGGTTTCACTGTGTACCTCTGGCTGGCCTGGAACTTGCCATGTAGAACAAGCTGGCCTCAGCCTGTTTGGGTTGTCATATTCGAATGTTACCATCTAGGTCATTTGTAACGAACAGAAGCATGTTAGCTTACAGATCTGGAGGCTAGGAAGTCCAACATCCAGGCACCAGCACTGATGACAGGTCTTTTGCTACCTTGTCACATGATGGAAGGGGTAGGTGAGGGAGAAGGTGAGGCTGAGCCTCCTCCGGCATGGCAACATCAGCTCACTGTTGGAGTGGCCCCTGAAGCCATCATCCAGTGCTGTCATGAGGGTGTCTGTTTCAGTGGGCGTGGGTGGGTGGGGGAGTGGACATGCACTCAAACCATGGCACTGACTTTACTGAAGTCCAAAGATCTGTGGCAAAGGAGAGTCCTTAATTAGACACCAGCACAGCACATTCAAGCACATCTGCCGGGTGCAATGAATTTCCCTCTAGAGAAAGAGCCAGAAAAAGGTCACTAACTAAGGAAAGCCAAGATAGTGGGTCTCATTAGGAGAAGGTTGATGCAGGTTTGTGCGCTCTGAGGATTGCTTAATTAGAAGACATGTAATGAAGTAGTGGCACTTTAGGACTTTGGCGTTTCTGGGTGCATAGAGTAGTTCAGATGAAGCGAAAGGAGGTTCTGTGAGGATTTGCAGTAATGATTAGGTTTAAAAACATTCATCTTCGGTATCCAGGATGCTTTGGCCATTAAGGCTGAAAAGCTTGCAGAATGGCTTTTACAGCAAGGACTATGTATTGTGTCTATATCAGAGCACATATGGTACATGTGGAGGTCTTGGTGAGATGGAAGTTTCTGGGGGTGTCCAGCTTAGCATGTCGGTGTGACAAGTGTCCCTGTTGTTTCCACTCTGGATACTGCCTTCAGTGCACTGACTTTGGTCTCAGGCTGTCCTCCTGTAGGCTCAGATGGTTGCTTTAGTTTTGTGTGGTGCACTGAGGCAGGGGTTTACTGCTGAGAACATAGGCTGTTTCTCATTTTAGTAGTGAGAAGTCTTCTGAGAGACCCCAGGGAAACCTTCCTGTGTCTGTATCTAGTGCTTGATGCAGCCAGGAAGAGGCACCTGAACCCCATGGCTCAATCAGTGTTCATTTCTGGTGTCTAGAAGGGCTCCCTGAACTGTATGACTATCACTTGAAAAATAATTGCAGTTTCATTTTTTTAAGCAAAGAATAAACTGAGGAATAGCTGTGAGATAGGTAGCCACCATGTCTGCTCATGAGTGTTTATCTGCACCCATGCACCTTGTCCACGACAGGGAAGATATCTGACCCTTTGTGGCTCCTCCTCTTCTGGGCTTTAGATCAGGGACTTCTGCCCGTTAGAACTTCCTGGAACCTTGTGACAACAGTTATCCTCTCTTCTCACATCCAACTTCCCTCAGTCTTGGTGGCCAGAGCTGAGCACGGAGCCTGCTTTGGCCTCACTCCTGGAGCAAGCCTGCCTCTCCTCCGGGTGCAGAGCCAACCTTTCCAGGGAGTAGACTCTTCTACCTTCTTCTCCCTTTGCTGCCCTCATTCACCTCATCTGGCTTCTGCCCACGGGAGAGGGCTAAGTGCGAGTTCATTCCCCAGTTTTCCACACACTAACCTTGCAGCCGCTCTCTTCCTCCAGAGCTTGCTGAACTAGCCTCCGACTTTCCTTCTGTCTCTGGTCACTTTATTCTAGGGTTGAGGTTCGATGAGAGTCTGGTTCAATGAGGCATCATTGTTACTCTGCATCTACCTTGCCTGATATGATATGAAAATCTGTGTCCCCATGGCTTCAGAGGTGTGCAGACCTCTCAGATATCTGCTGAACTTGTGTCTCGCATTAGACATTCAATGATATGGAAGCTCAGCAGGGTGAGAAATGACCAGGTTCTCCCCATGTCTCCAGACTTTGTTTCCTGACAGCCTCAGGGGTTGCATGATGCCCCCATTCAGCCAGAAAGAATATGAGATGGGTTCTAAGCCTTACCTTTTAAACCTTCTGTATCTAGACTATGTCAGCATTTTCTGCTGTATGCACCTAGAGCCTGTCCACTGGTTTCCCTATGCCCATCACTTCATCCTACCTGGCAGCATCTCATGGCCAGATCTCTGCATCCCTTTTGTACCCTGTGCTCTGACCATCCTGCAGTCCAAGAGCACAGTGCTGGGCCTGCAGCAAGCTTTGCTCATGCAATTCTGTGTGCTGGCATGCACCCTAAATTCCTATCTGCATATTAGTGTCTTGCATCCTTTGATTTTTAAATTAAAAGTCACTGGAGTGAGCTTCAACTGGCTTCCATGTGTGTTAAATGCAGTTGTGTTCCCTTTCTGCCCCATGTGCCTCTGCTTGGCACACCTCTCATGGTTGTAGCTCTGCACTCGAGTGCTGACAGTTTAATCAGTGTCTGACTTCATCCTATGACTCCAGCTTTTTGAGGACCATGCTTCTTTGAACCAAAGATCACTAGTGTCTCAGCAGGGTGGGATTCAAAGTGGCAGGTACTCTGTCTACCTTTATTGAATAAATGAATGAAATAGTGATGTCACCACATCAGCTACTCTCTGACATGCTTCAGAATGTTCATTTTTACGTAGTCTGAACAGCCATCACAGAGAACATTATTGTTACTTTTCTTTGAAACTATTGGAATGCAGCACTCATGCCACCCAGTCTGACCGAGGACAGGCTAATGGGATCAGGGTATGGAACACACACCTGCACATCTCTACAGCTCTGCTCTTGAATGGTTCAGGCCAGCTGGAAGCAGCTCCTGGGTCCTCAGGGATCCCTGCTAAGGCAGATCTTGGCCTGTGTCAGATGTTCAGAGCCCTTTACCATTTTAACTCAGGTGTAGTTGTACCATTTGCCTTTCTGGCCAGTGGCAGGTAGCTCCAGGCAGATGCCTAATCTCCTACCTGTCCTTCTCTGCCTTTGGGATCAGGACACAGGAGAAGGCCCTCCCCCAGTGGATGCACTCTGTGATGTGGATGAACCAGGTCTCTGGCAAGCCCTCTGTGGACACGTGGTGCAAGCTGGTGCTCTGGTGGAGCTGGGTCAGCCTGTCTTATCAGACGCAGAGCTAAAATGCAAGCAGCCTAAAATGGAAGCTCAGCTAAACAGTGATAGAGTGCACAATTCTCCCTGAGAGTGGGGAGAAGGCACAGTGTACTGACGTAGATGGCTCACTGCCTCTTCCTGGCATGCTGGGCCAGCCAGGCTGTGGAGAGTGCCTTCTGAGCAGGCAACAGCTCTGTGACTGGGGTTCCCAAAGGAGTCCTAAGAATGAAGAAGAAACTACTGTTTGCTGACCAGCAGCACCTGGAGTTACCACAGCACTTTAACTAATTTTGGATATTAATTTTTATGTATGTATAGTGTATGTTTGTGTGTGAGGGTATGTGCTTGCTACAGCGTGGGTGTTGCGGTCACAGGACAACCTCCAGAGTTGGTCCTTGTGGTCCACCTGATTGATGCATTGTCCCTTGTTTCTCACCATGATTCGTACTCCAGGCTGGTTGGCCCAGGAACTTCTGGGGGATTTTCCTGTCTCTGTTTCCTGTCTTGTTGTAAGAGTTCTGGGATTACAGATATGCACCACAGTGTCTAGTTTTTACATGGATTGTGGGGATCTGAACTCAGGTTGTCAGGCTCTTGTTGACAAGTGTTTATACCTGCTGAGGCACATACCTGGCCCCTTATTTATTTATTTTTGTGATAAGGTCTTGCTATGTGTGATGGATAGCTTTAGTGTCAACTTGACACACCTGGGTTGAGGGAGCCTCAGTTGGGGAATTGCCTCTATTGGACTGGCCTGTGGCCATGTCTGAGGGCATCTTCTTGATGAGTGATGTGGGAGGGCCCAGCCCACTGTGGGTGGTGCCACCCCTGGGCAGGTGGGCCTGTGTTGCATAAGAAAGCAGGCT